ATTCCGGTGGTTGTGACGGTGGAAGGGAACATGCTGGTGGGGGAGGAACGTTGGGTGGCTGTTAATGGGGGCGAATGAGCGTTCGAGGTTGCTTGGGTCTGATGTTGCTGGGGAATGTTGAGAGAATCGGAATCAATTTCGATGTCCACAGCTGGTGAGGGTGAGAGGAAGGGCAGGCTGTATGGAGTTCCAAGGGACTGAGAGTGATCGGAGGCGCTGCTGAATAACGGAGTGGACGCGAAATCGGTAATAGGGGTACTTGCAGCGGTTGTTGCCGAAGCAGGATACATACTGAACGGCGGTGGAGGCTGTGTTGCAGATGTATCAACGTGGAGGTCAGGCTCACTCATGTTCAATGGCAGATGAAACTGAGAGTGGGCAAGGGGAATAGGAGCGAAGATATCTGGTTGATGGTGCTCCTGATGCTGTGGAGTACTTGGCTGGAAGTGGTTCGTCGACTGAAAGTGGAATGACGGCATGGCGTGCAGGGCGGCAAAGTCGACAGGACCGGGAACCGATCTACTGCGTTGACGTTTGTGGCCCCTGTTAGGGTGAAGGCCGACAGAGAGGTGGTTGTCGACTGAGAGGCGATTTTGGGCTCGCGAAAGGTGGTTAGGCTGCGATGCAGGACGGTTGACATGAACAAATTGCGGGGAACCATCAATAAATGGTGTATTCGGGGTGAATGGGTAAGCTGGAGAATGGCGGTTCTGGAAGGTCTCGAGAGAGACAAGCTTTGCCAGCTGGACACTGAGAACCTTGGGGTGGCCTCCGAGGTGATGGATGAGCGACTTGGTGGCCTGTTGTTCCTCTGTGAAATCACCACACTGGTAGAAGCCGCCGGAGTTGGAGGAGTCCATGTAGAAGTTTGGTGGGCGATTTAGTTCGATAACTAGACCGCCAGATCTAGGAAGGGCGCCATCCAGAGGTGGTACAGGATCACCAGGCTCGAGAATAATGTTCTTGATACTCGAGAAGGGATATTCGATCTTGTAACCAGCAGAGTCGTTGTTGATGTAGTATGTCATACAGGCCTGGTCAGGAGAATAGAAAATGACCAGGTCCATCGTGTTTTGGCCAACTCGACGCCAGGTGCCGATGCGAAGAGAACGGCACGCAAAATGTTGGATCACTGCACCTTGTTAGGACGGAGAGTCACGGATAGACGCAAGTATAGATAAAACAAGTACGTACCGACTTTGGACGAGGTGGCGGAATGCATCATGGGCTCGTTCGAAGGGTAACCCCCCGCACGGCCTAGCATATTTCGCGCATTCGAACTGGCGGGATCCAGCTGGAGTGCGAGGTATCTTCGCATAGATTCAGGGACGGCATCACAGTCCTCTCCCGTTTCGATGCCCCGTTTAGCAATCATCTTGATTTTAGCACGCCTGTAGCATCGAGGAGAGAAAGAGTTAGTTTTCCGTTCGAAGCTAGAATCGACATAAAGAACATTTAAGTTTAGCGTACCTGTTCTGGAACCAGATCTGCACAGAACGCTCGGTCATGTTGATATTCTCCGCAATCTGCTCTCTGACAGCAGCGGTCGGAGTGGGATTCTTCTTGAATTCCATCTCGAGGGTGACGAGCTGGTCCTGAGTGGCGCGTTGGCGCTTGTGGTTCTTCTGCTGTTGGGTGAGGGTGCTTTTCCGCGGGGGGCGGCGCGAGGCGGGGCGAGTGGATGGGCTATCACTGGCCGTGGCGTTCGCACTGGCCATGGGGGCGGCGGTTGTGGTGCTGGTAGTGATGGAGGAGGAAGTAGAAGAAGCCTGGGAGGTGGCGGTTGGAGGAGGCGTGGCTAGCGACATGGCATCCGTTGGAGTAGAAATTCCAGCAGAAGTCGCAAAGGGTACATCAGACATGATTGATATGGTAGGAGTAGCAGTGGTGGACATGGCAGTCGAGATTGTAGTTGTAGTTGCAGCGGTGACGGAAGATGTTTCCATTGCCATCAAACCATGCGTCAAACCAGACAGAAAGTTCAAGAAAGAAAAACAAAAAAGGTGGATCGAAGATAAGAGGAATCTGATAAGACGAATGTAAATGAAGGACGTTTGAATGATCGTCGCGAGCCAGTCGACTGGAGCTTTTTTTTTTTTGGGCTTTTGATGACGGTGATGGTGATGGTGTTGGTGATGCGAGATGCGATGATCGTGAGGTCGTA